ATATATATATATATAGAAAATGAACATATGCAAAGAGAAGTTATTTGCAGCAGATAGAATAAAAAGTATTTATAGGTAATCAAAATTTTTAAAATAAATTTTTTATATTTTAAAGTTTATTTAAACCATCTTTAGGATGTTTAAATAAACACAAAAATACTAAAATCCATTTTAACTGAATACTGATTACCTTTAAGGAGTTCTTTTTTTTTTTTTTATAAATTATCTTTATCAGTTAACATTAAGGGAGATGACTCGTGCTTGCAAAGTATGTAAAGATCTCAAAGTATAGCTTGATATGCTTAAAGTTTTGAAAGTTTATAAGAGATTTTGCAACACTTTAAAAAAGAATTACCAGAATCAAGTTTTTACAAGCACATATTTACTGAAACTGTATGCATAGTTGTCATCTTGAAGATTTGTCTTTCTCAAAAAAAAAAAAAAAAAAAAAAAAACTATAGAACATACCCAACAAAAAAGAAAAAAAACTCTTCCCATGTTTATTACTCAAGTCTTAACTACAAGACTAAGCTATACTCTGAGTCTCTTATTACAGATACTGACATAAAGAAAAAAATAAATATGAAGCCTTCTGTATTATGTTGTTAATATTGCAGCTGACATTAAGTTGAGCTCATTTTCAAATATACAGCCGCAAAATGATACATCTGTATCATGCAAATAATGACAGATGTATAACCAGTACGAAAGATTCAAATCAACACAGAAAGAGAAAAACTTAATTTGTCAGAAAAAATGCTTGGCACACAAGTGGAAGCAGTCAAGCAAAAAAGTGAACCATTATATATCATGGATGAGTGGTCAATTACATAATTCATAACAGTGAAGTGAGGCTAGCTAAAAGAGAGCTTACTGGTTCAAACATTAATACAGATTTGATATTTGTTGAATATCTAATCCATTAAAACAGTCAAGATTTGAGCATTCTTTGAAGAAAATTTTCATTTTATTTTTCTTCATCATTTATTATAATTGGAGAAAATAAACTTTTCGGAAAGGAATACTAGTAGTATACTATACTGATTGAAAAGACTAATAACCACTATATACAATGAAGTACCGAAAAGAGAAAAAACTTAAATGCATTATAAATTAATATTTTTATACAACAAAAATACATTTTTGTGTAGGTCTTCAACTGAAGAGTTCTTCAGAAAAGTGACAAACTTATAATCACCTACTGCCTATACTTTAGAGCAGCTCTCGGTTTGTTATAAACAGATTCTAAAATTATTATAAAATATCTTGATTTGCAATTATATACATCAATAATGATGCAGTTCTGATAATGCAAATTTCATATTCCTACTTTTTATGCATACACTTCATAGTGAATGAAACTGCTAAACAAATATAAGCTCAAGTAAACAGAAATTAATATTAGTAGGTATTAAGCATCCTCAACCTAGCATAAAGAAAAGAGAGTGGCTGTTGACCTCATTTTATAAAAACCCAAGTCCTTGATTTTAACTTGAATAAAAGACAGTTAAATGGACAAATTACAATATATAACTGTATATGAAGGCATAAAACAAAGCATCATTTTGAATTATCAAAATCTTTTTCCCAAGAAACCGTTATATCTTGTAAGGATCAAATAACAGTAACACTTTTCAGAAACAGACTATTTTTAATTACTCTTAATTTTTTATTTTATTAAATAGAAACAATATTTGATGAATTTATTCATTTTTCACATTTACAATATTACACTCATTTACAAGTTTCAGTAAAAATTTATTTACTTCAATTAATCATAAATGATTTTGATTAATTTACAGAACAGCAAATGATACATTTTCCCAATTGTTCTTAGTTTTACTTAATGAAAGAACAAAATTGAAAAATTCCCAGAAGTATACCTACCTTGTGACTTCAAAGTACCATTTGCTATGGAGGTGGTGATGTTATTCGAACCTGCACTATCAGTGAAATACCGGACATGTCCCTTAAAATAAAAATAGTAGCAATCATTGCATTTTGTTCAAGTTGCAATCAGTTTTTATCTCGACTATTCCGAAATCTATTAAAAATACATCATATAATCCAGTGTCTAAAAATAAAGGAAATTACAGAATAAAAATAATTGATTGGTTGAAATGTCTGTTCAGTTTATTAACCCCACCATACACTTCTGCCATCTTTCAAGCAAATTCATAATCCCACCATTTTTTTTTAAATTAATAAGGGGAAGAAAATACTATAAGTGTCCTTTGCCACCTTCTAGAGAATTGAATTTTATTCATTATGAGAATTCTGTAGATAGATTATTCCTTTCCAATTCCATAGAACATCACATTTGATTGGTAGGGTTAGTAGTGATTCATTTTGCTTGTGCAATGACCTTATGTTCCACAATGTTATGTCAGTGTAATAAAGTATCTATTTTTCATCACCCATTATAAGGATCTTTGGGGGTTTTTTTTATCAATGATCATGAGTAATTTTTGTTACAATCAACTCATCCCATACAACAGATAAGATTCTTATTTTTCAAAGTTTCCCCTTTTTATCAAATATGCAGTTATTCTGTAAAAATTTCTTTATTTTTTGGTAAATTAATTTAGTAGCTAAATTCATTTATTTTTCCTGGTTTTCTGAAGACAAAAAATATTTTCAAAGTAATTTAGAATGTACTTTTCTTCAAAACAGTTAAAAATAATTCGTTTAAGATTTTTATTTTTTGATTGACATTCTGAATGATAATCTAAGCGGCAATACGATTGTAAAAGACAAAGAGTGATAGAAAGGAGAAATATTGAAAAGTTATGTTGCGTTGAGGAATGCATGATGAACCTCTTCTTGTCTTATCTTTCTCCTTTCTCGTGTAAGTCCTGAATGTGACTTGTAAGCCGAGATCTATTAATATTACAAGTTCTCTAGGTTACTAGTTGCACCAATGCAACCTCAATTTATAAAAAAAAAAAAACGATGCTAACTCTATGGAGGAGTAAAAAAAAGCAATACAGTAGCGCTGGTGTGCATTTTTTATTTTTCATTCAGAAGCGCTTTTCAAGGGTAAAACTGTTAGTTAAGTAAGTAGTTAAAACTAAAAACAACTAAACAAACACAGAGCTACTATAGTAAAACAAAACTTCATTTTTTTTTAAAAGAATAAATCAAGATAAAAACATGACAAAAAAGTTGTTTGGAAATTTTTTAAAAAAGATGTTAAACTTTAAACAGTCGATTAATTTTTAAAAAAAGATGATAAAATTTAAACAGTTGATTACTGATTACATTTTATTTTTAACTAAGTAAGATTTAAATTTCAATATTTGACCACGAAAAAAGTTATTTTTTAAACGTTATATTTTTACGCACGTTTGACGAAGGAGACAGGTAACCTAAAAATAAATGCCATATAAAAATTAATTTCTTAATTGTTATTTGTACAAAGAAAAAAATTGTTAAACTATATTTTTATATCCAATTCCAATGTATAGAACCGAAAACATTTGAGTTTAAATAATTTTGTTTACAATGTATTGTAAAAACACTGTGCAAAAGGTTTTTCCGCGATAAACACCCAAACTCAGTTAATTATCATTTTAAACGACATTACCAGTAGGTAATAATTTATGAATTAATTTATTGATGAAAAAGTATTTTTGTAAAGGTACGGGGAAATCATTTTTTGTGTGATCATTCAAACAAAAAGTTTTTAAAAAACTGTTTTTTTTTATTACACTTAATTCTAGGAAAACCCAACAAAATAACATCTTAGCAAAATTTAAAAGTAAAACTATATTTTTTGCCTAATATTCAAATTTAAAGTAGTGTCTGTCAAAAACACGAAAAGATGATTAACTCGGATAGGCCCGAGGAGCTTTTTTTTTTTTTTTTTAGCAGTACCCCACCCCAACAAACAATTAAAAACAATCCTAGTTATAATTTTTTTTCAAAGTATTGTTTGTTACTTATACTAGCAACAAAAATGTCATAACCTCATTTGCAAATGACCTTTTTTAAAATTAAAAGTTATATCAGAACTACTTTTTTTCATTAGATATTTCTTCTTAGATTTTAACTTAAAATAAAAAAAAAAACACCAATTGATCATAACAATATAAGCAACAAAAAAAAAAAACAGTGATGTCACCTAATTTTTAATTATTTATCTTAATTTCAGGTGAATCGTCTCCCAACAAAATAAACTCACATTATTCTGTATTTTTGAAAAGTGTAATAGAAAAAATGGAATATATGAATTTTTAATCAAGTTTTAATTTTTCTAGCTTTTGTATTGTTTATACTTTCGTAAGTTACAAAAATGGAAAAAATAAATTAATAAATGTATTTGTTTTCTTTCTCTCTTTAAGAATATTTTATATAAAAAAATAAAAACATTTTTAATTGTTATTTAAAAATGTAATAATAATCGCATGACGGCTACAAAAAAGCATGCATTTAAAACTTAAAGATACCACTTGACTTGAGTTAATAACTCTTTTCGGAACTTACATAATCAAGCAAGATGTTTCCTAAAACATGCAACCAACCGCTATTAAAATTTGTTTCTACATTCGGTAACCGTCAAGAAAGGTCACCATCAGTGCATAACAAAATGTTGATGTATATTGTGATAAACTTGTCGAAACTTATAAAGTAACATTGCATATATTTACAAACCAAGTTAAGGCGACACTAGCAGATAATTACGGTAAAAATGATATTTACTCGAAAATATACACTGCTCAGGACTTTCATCCTCCTCGCCAATAATGCAGTCACCTTCCACGCAGAAGCCATGGTTGTTGCTTACTTTTTTGTCACCCGGACAAAAACTAAGCTTAAAACACCGCTCTTGGGACGGGTTATTGACTAAGAGTTGAGTTTCAGAAAACAAAATAATAATCGCTCCCTTGACTACGCTAACGTGACGTCATCATTCCGGAAGTGATATTCAAACCGAGGGTGTCCGTTTAACGCAAAAAGTGAACCCCTTACATACTAACTTCCTCTTTTATTGCACGAAGATGGCGGATCAGGTACGTTTTTGGTTTGCTCTTCTTAATGTTTTTAATTTTGTCTTAACTAAATTTACGTTCAACTTTATTTTTTTTTTTACTTTTACTTTGGTATGCTTGTACAAAACGTTACCGCAATAAAATTATCCATTGCATTGTGTTAAATGTAATTAATGAGTAACAAAAATTGGATATCTATGCAGTTCGTTGGCCACATGTGTCTACCTAATTTGATATATTACAACAAATCATTTGAAGGCTTTTTTATTCGTAAAATAATTGGATTTTATAAATTTATTTTCTATTTCTTCCGTCAATCATTTTTAGCAATTTTTATAAATGCTTCCATTTGAAAGAGTTTTTTTTTTATCATTCATGTCAACACGTGAGCCTTTTCAAAAGTAAAAAAAAAAAAGCCATCAAAAAAAAAAAAAATCTTTAGCTTTAATTTTCTCTTCATTAACATTGTGCGCTATCAAATTTGAATAGTAATGGAAGATAGCCGACAAATTTTTTTAAAGATTATTAAACCGCTAAGGAAGCACTAGGTCCACATGGTGTGTTACTAAAACCGGTAGTTAAGTTAAAAATTTCACTGCTATTGTTTAAGATTAATTTTGCTAAAATTGTCAAAATTAAATCGTCTTCTGAAAATGTTTTCCACATTGACAATATGAATATATTGCAGATTTTCATTTTTTTTTCTATTTTAATATTTTATGTAGAAATATTTCTCTACTTCTTCATGCATGTTTTAAACAAATCCCTTGCGATCTTAATCACCCAACGGAACCTCTTTTTTAAGTTTCGAAAGTATAACAACCACTTTGTGGTGTGCTGATTCAAACAAAGTACATTTACAAACCATTTCGGGGGAAATGTGAGTTTTATCTTCATGACTATCCCACCAAGCTAAGCGGTGAATTGCCTAAATTTTAAAACTGATTTTCAGTAAATGGCAAGGTCTGTTGTGTTCTTCGTTTTCCCTTTTGACCGTTGTGCTTGTTGAATGTTGTAAAAAATAACTTTTTATTAATTTTCAGGATGCCTTGACTTTGAAATCTTATACCATTTTGTCAAAAATAGAAATTTTTATTAAATTACTTCAAATTGCTTTTTTGTATTGGTATTTTTCGCAAACTTTCTTTGAAAGTCTTCACCCCATGAACGATTTCATGAACGTACACTAGACTGCTTATTATTTGTTTTTTTTAATTAGCTTGAGAACTACACTTAAAAAGCATTTAGCGAAGGTAACCTTTCATCGGAAATCTAGTGGAACTGAAAATTAAGCTCAGTATTAATTTTTTTTTTTTTTTTAATGCTTGTTTTTGATTAAATTTGTTTATGCATTCAGAATCGTGGCAGGCTACCTGAAATTTGCAAGTGGGACTTGGATAATTTATAAATATTTAAATTGTTGTTTGAAAATGCTCTGCATCAAAATAACATTTAAACAAGATTGTTCAAAAATCAAGAGATAATCCAGTTGTACATTCATTGTCCTGGGTATGACGATAAACAACATCTGACAGCAAGGCCTATGATCAGGAGGCTTTGAGGAGAGTAAAACTACCTCTTAATTGCTGGTGTTCCCTGACCCTGAGTGGTAGCACTGTTAGGGTCCCGTTATGGCCAAGTAATTACCCCCCCCCAAAAAAAATGGGGTTTAAAACACTAGGAAAATGTAAAAATAGGTTTTATTACCAGAAATAAAATTGTTGGTATTAAATAACTCATTGAGATTCATTTGTCGTCAAACAAACCAAACCTCTACATTCATTTTTAAGATGATTTTTTTTTTTTCTGTTTTTATTTTCAGACTGAAAGATCATTTCAAAAGCAGCCTACTGTTTTCCTGAACAGGAAGGAACCCTTGAAAGCTATCAAAAAGCAAAAGAAATCTTTGAGATATGTAAGAAATGTTGGACTTGGGTTTAAGACCCCTAAAGAAGTGAGTAAAAATTTTATTTATTCGCTTGATCTTTTTTAGAGAGAAAGGAATGAATTTAAAAAAAGAAAATTTTTTTTTTTTTTTGTTTTATCTGGTCAGTTTGTAATCATTTGAAAATATTTTCTTTCCAGGCCATTGAAGGCACTTACATTGACAAAAAATGTCCATTCACTGGTAACGTGAGCATTCGTGGACGTCTGCTTACTGGCACAGTTCTTAAGATGAAAATGACCAGAACCATTGTTGTCAGGAGAGATTATCTTCATTATGTGAAAAAATATAACAGATTTGAAAAAAGGCATAAAAACATGTCTGTGCACATGAGCCCTTGCTTCAGGTAATTATATTTTTACTCATTGTGCACATTTCTGTTTCTTGACAATTTTGTAGTTTTAAAATATCTGGTTTCCATTATGTCAAGGAATACACTTGCCATCACATTTCAGTTGTTGTTGTTGTATGGAAGTTTTGTTTGGGGTTGGAATAAAGCAATTTTAGTGTACAAGATTACCAAATTGCTATCTTGTGATTTTACTTAAGTTTGCCTTAAAAATAGAATATCTTTAAGCGATTTTTGGCTTTGTACCTGTATATTGTCACATTTTCTTGAAGTTTATTGTTTTTTGTTTTTTTTTTGTTGTTTTTTTTTTTTCCTCTAAGGATCTAGAGTAGAGCCAATACTTTCTATCAATATAGCCTTAATATGAAGATTAGATGAGATATATAGTTTTTTTTTTGTTTTTTGTTTTTTTTCCATTACTAGTAATTTATCTTGTGAGATGTGTAAAACAAATCCCTAGAATTTTTTTTTTTTTTTTTTTTTTTTTTGTATAATCAACTTCTATTTATTGTACAGGTTGGTAAGAATGTTTTGCTTTTTATTGCAGAGATGTCACAATTGGTGATGTGGTTACCATGGGAGAATGTCGACCCCTCAGTAAAACAGTCAGATTTAATGTCCTCAAGGTCTCCAAGGGATCGTCTGGAAAGAAATCTTTCTCAAAATTTTAGGACATTTATAATTGCCTAAATAAAATGTGACTCCATAATTTTCTGTGTTTTAGTGTTCTACATTCTGAATGCTCTGATAGGTACCTCCACAAAAACGCATTACGTAGGGTTGAAAATGAAATATCTTTCATGAAGTTATTTAGCTTTTAATTTCAAATAGATTGATTATTATGGGACCTTAAATTTAATCTGAGTCACCTTGGGTTTTTGAAAACTAATTTAAATTAGTGGAAAAATTTTTAGATTTTGAATTTTGTGTTCTCAAATCTTTTAAAAAAGTAACATTTCTGAAAAAAAAAAAGGAATGTTAGCTGATTTAAAAAATCTGATTTGATGATCAAACATTTACTACATGAATCCATTTTATTTATAAATGTCCTAGAAAAAAATCATTGGATTTATTGAGATATAAATATATATTTGAATATAATTTTCAATGTTCTTAGAAATGTTTTTTAAAAAACATACTTTCATCATTCAAAAAAGTTGATTTTAAGGGAGGTACATTAACATCCAACTGAAAGGTTTTTGAAACAATAGTTGAAATTGGCATATTTTTGTTGTTGTCTTTTTTTTTGATAGAATTTGGACAAATTTTCTTTAATCTTTCTATTTTTTTATTTAATTTTAAGGTCCTCAAGATTTATTAACCAAATACAAAAGGTCTTCCACAAGATTTCTACATTAGAAAAAGGAGTTTTGAAAAAAACAATTCAAAGTTGTTTAAATTTAAACTTCATTCTGGAAATTTTTCACTGAATGATATTTTAAACATGCTTCTTCACCATTTATATAAATTGTTCAATATGACCTAATCACATTATATGGATAGGTATTAGAGATTTTAAAACTAAAGCATCTGAAAAAAAATTGAAAATCATTTGCACCAGAATAATGACTTATTGCCCAACCTGTCAACTGGAATTGAGCTGAGTAGCAAATAGTTGGCATTCATTTCAAGAAAGTATCTTCAAAAATGAGCAAATAAGAGTTTTTTTATTTAGTAAAATTATAAACTGCTGGATAAATTTTCATTAACTTGGACATCAAAAGCATAGTTCATTCAAATAATGTAAAGCTGTGTGTGGCCTGAAAGACTTGGAAGGATCTTTTACTAGGTCTCAAGATCAAATGATTGATTCAACAACATGACAAAAACCAATTAGATAAAACTGAAAACAAGCAGTCAATGATTTTTGAATATTTAAAATGAAATTCAATTAGGATAATATAAAACACATATTTCTTTGCTGACAAAAAAAAAAAATTGTTGTAGAAGTTGATGGTTCATACAAGTCCTGCTAAATTCATCCGAGGCATGAAAAGACCTGGAATTTTCTGAATCAAACCCATGGGATTACATTTTCTTAATTCATGAAGGTAAAATTTCAAATAAAAGTTCAATTTTTGGAATACTGAAATTGGACTTTAAAAACTATTGTTAGCTGATAAAGATAAAGTTTTTGACTACCCAATTTGGTTTGAATTAAATGAATACATTTTTTTAAAGCACTAATTAATTTTCTATTTTCTTGTCTTTGGGGTGAAAGAAAGTTTAAAAGAAAAGATAGAATTACAGTCTGTCAAATGTTGTGTCCATATATGTTTAAATAAAACAAACTAAATATATATCTTCCATGGATATGCATTTTCAACAGATTTATCCATTCAAAAAAATATGAAAGGATCTCTATCACTGAAAAATTAAACATTGAAAGATCAAGTGACACATATAAATCATTTCCCCATTAAATACTGTTTTAAGGTATCAGTCAATAAAGCTGAGTCATTATGAAACAAAGGCCTTGAGGGTGCCAGAGCCATGAGGCAAATACTTGGATATCATTGCCTGAATCAAAGAAATAGCTTTTGAACATCCCTCATGGCTTGGGTGGATTTACTAAGATGGAAAGTGATTTGGACAGATTTTTTTTTTTTTGCCTGATAAAAACTCAAACATCCTGTGTCCCTGGCTATGGATGAATTCATCATCCTACTACCAGTTGATCAAAGCCTAATGCCAACAAATTTGGATAAATCTTTTCTTAAGCAGAACAATCATTTGAGTTTTCCAAACTGCCATAAGGAAAGAATCAACAATTAGACTCATTCAAACTTTTGCAGATCCTCAGAACAAGGACTCAGATTCAAATGTTTGTATTGTCACTTCCGGCATTAATGCAAGCAGTCTCACATATCATCCCCAAATTTTGGCAAAGTGAATTGTGTCCTGGTCAGGCCAATTTCTCAAATGGCTCTGTGCCTCCTCTACTATCCTTTCTTTGGATGGATATAATTGAATCAAACAAAACCATCATATATCCTGAAAAAAATCAAAAAAAAAAATAACGAAGGATGCATCCATCCTGTTTAACAGATTGTAAACCTGGATATGACAAGTTTGTTCACCAAGAAAAATCTATAAGAGGTATTATTTTTAGTTTGGACTCATCCCTTGGAAAAAATTGTATTATAATTGTAATGATGAAAACCATTTTATTTTCTAATCTAAAAACATTTCTTTTTGACATGTTTTGTTTTTTTGGCTTCACAATATTTAGAGGAATTTTCACCAGCATGGTGTCCACAAGATCCAGAATTGTTTTGTTGTGGGCAAAAGACAACAAAATTCTTTGTTGGAATCCTAATACTATATGTACAAGGAGGAGAAGTAAGTTCATAATTTTATATTTATTTTGGTGGAAGAGGCCCATATGATGTGAATATTAATAAAATAAAAATCATACATACATACATTTACAATGGAGAGATATATATATATATATATATATATATATATATATAATATCTCAAACAAGCATGGGTTAAAGACATACTATTTCTGTTTATTTTTGTTTTAATCAACATTCACTGAACAATATCTTGGTAGCCATAGAAAAATTGATAAAAAAATACCCAATTTTCAAAATTGAAAGATCAAATTGTGAACAAGTTTAGGAATATAAAAATAAATAAAAGGCATACAGACATCATCAAAGAACTCTAAAATATAAACAATATACCCTCAAAATGCATTCTAACTGTCCAACAAAAAGGGATAAAATTTAAAGAGACTCCTAAACACTAATAGTGATTCAATTAAAAACTGATCCATTGTCCATACTAAATTTAAATTTAATTCAACCAATCTTTGAAAAAAATAATTCTTCTCCATTTTAAAAATCTTACAAAAGCTAATAACATTGTAATATCTCCTAAATGTTTTCGTTGATAAAAATGTTAAAATGTATGTTAACTATTTCCAATTATTTGGACGAGATATTGCTTACATTTCATTAAATGAGTTCAATTTGGTAACCCTCTTACATCATTTAAAGGAACACCATATCAACATTCACGTTTAGACAGATATTGAATGAAAATACATCTATATTACACCAAAATAATAAATTTGTTAAAATCCATTTAAAACAATTAAAGCCTCAAACCAAATAAAGTCAACTATTGTATAGTAAAAAAGTTTTAATTTCAGCAGAAACTTTTTATTTATATATATATATATATATATATATAACCGTGTGTGTGGAAGACAGTCTTAAAAGATGTCTTTTACATGATAGATAGAAAACGAGTAAAGGAACTCTGATTGTAAAAACATCAATCAATCAGTAAAATTGAGGATGAAGCTGTTGGAATATTGTTTTCAACCCAAACATGCATAAAATGCTGCAAAGAGACAGTCTGGACATTTTGTTCTACTACAGGGTCTATAAAAATATCAAAAAAGGAAAGTTGTTTGCAAATTGCTAGTTCTCTCTTGTGGACAGAATTGGAAAGACAATGTTCAATAAAGAAATTACTACTGAAAATGAGACAGGCTCTGGTTGTACAGCACATTATCATGGACACTTTGGCCACAGTTGGAGGTACTGGGAATATTCCCATGACTAAGGTTCTTCTCTGCAGTGCTTCCAATGCCAGAACAGCATGCAACCAATACCTTGAGGCTGAGAACTAAAAAGGCAGGAAGAAATAGCTGGACAAAAACTAAAATCCATGCATATGTAAATTAAAGAACTGAAGATCAAAAACACAAGCTTGAAAGTTGCACACAAGATTTTCTCACAGCTATTCAATGTGAAAGCTCAACAGACTCCAAACTTCACACTTATCACAAAGTCCAATTCCATGTGAAGATCTGCAAAAGACAAATCCATAGAGATATCAAAATTGGAAAAGGAGCTGAATGCTAAACTAGATGAACTGAAAAAAATGTTATTTGTGTTCTGTGCAGTGAAAGACATGAGTCATAATTGCAGGGGTAGCTAAAATGTGTAGTCATTTTGTGAAAATTTCTATTTGTAATTTTGTTCATTAAAACCATTATACATAACTTCATAGAATATGTGCAGCAGTCAAGAATTTTTGTGATATTTACAAACCATGATTATTTTAGATAACTGAAATAGCAGTAAAAATTTAAGTATATAATTCAAAACTTTCAAGTGTAGTAGAACTCCAAACTGTGTAGAATGCTACACAAAAAGTGTAACATAACCAGATCTGCATTCACTTGTGTTTTAGCCTTCACTGCTTTCAACTGATCGATGTGACATGAATTATTGGAACCAGCTGTAGCTTTTCTTTTAATAGTTTGACAGATGAGATGTTCAAAGATAAATCACAAAATTTGTTTTTTAAATTGATGACCATTCACTTTGTGTGTGTGTATCAGTTTCAGTCCTGGGATTTTTTTTTACACATATCTGTGGGAACACTGACTACATGCCTGTATTCTAGGCATACCAGTCAGGAACTGATGTGGCCGTCTGGCACAAAAGCTTTTGTGCATGTGCAGGAATGGTGTGTGTCACTTCCAACCCAAAGGAATTTCCCAGCACTGCATTAGTTTTAGTGGGCAAAAATAAAGTTGGATATTTTTTTCAATGCCCCTTGTACATATACAGCAAGAAGCTAAAGTCTTGCACTTTCTGTGACTTCACACAGTGACTGTCACTTCATTCTTTCTGTCAAAACTT